ATCGCCGGAGCCCAGCAGCTCGAGGCTGCGGTGGCCGGGAGCAGCCACTGCACTCCAGTCCGGGCGACTGAGTGAGACTCCAACTCAAAAAATAAAAATAAAAAGAGTGGGACCAATCACCAGGCACTGGAGAAGTGCTGGTGAGAATGAATTTTCTGTATACAAAACAGAACACACCCAGACACAGAAACTAATCAAGCCATGCCCTTGGCTCATATCTGTAATCAACACTTCGGAAAGTGGAAGCTTGAGACCAGCCTAGACAACATAGCGAGACCTTACTTCTACAGAAAAATTTTTCAAATGAGCTTGATATAGCCCAGTTACTCAGGAGGCTGAAGTGGAGGCAGAAGGACCACCTGAGCTCAGGAGGTTGAGGCTGTGGTGAGCTGTGATCCTGCTGCTGCATTCCAGCCTGGGCAACAGCAAGACCTCAACTCAAGAAAAAAGCTAACCAAAAGGGAAAACTCATAGGATCCTGGGTATGCACAACCATACATTGAGTTTAGAAGAATATAGAGCAGTTTCACATAGAAATATATAAAAATGGAGAAAGAAAACGAAGGTCCTAGATAGGGATTGGGTTTCCTGTGAACCTTTGAGATCAGGTGCTTCTTTCACCATTGAAACTATTCTAAATGGTCAGTTAGACAAATGCAGACATCCTCAAGAGGTCTGTGTGTGTTGGGGGAAGAGGGAAAACAGCACTTAAAGTTACTCTGCCTGTGACTGGCATTTTCCTGTATATCAGATGGAGGTACAGCTTGGCTTTCCCAGGAGTCTTTTGATGTAGATGAAACAGACAGCGGGGCAGGGTTGAAGTGGAAGAATGTGGCCAGGCAGCTGAAAGAAGATCTGTCCAGCATCGTCCTCCTGTCAGAGGAGGACCTCCAAGTAAGCCTCCTCCACGACCCACAACCACCCTCACCTGGCCTCTGCAGCCCCAACACCTCAGCTTCCATGCTTGCCATAGTCAGTCGTTCCTTTCTTTCTCTTGATTTGTAAGCAATTCTTAAATTACAACTAAGACTAATAATCTTACGGTTTTCACCTAGAGTAATTTTTCAACCCTCATACATTAGAATCACCTGTGGATTTTTTTTTTTTTTTGAGTTGGAGTCTCACTCTGTCACCCAGACTGGAGTGCAGTGG